TCGAGCCAGGCGCCCAAGAAATTCGATCTTCGGCCTACAAATGTCGTTCTGGAAGACGCCGAGGCCCTCTATATAGCAGTTCACGCCGATCCTGCAGGCAGTGGATCATCTGATACACAGCAGCAGTCACCATCGCAATACCGTCTGCGGATTACAGTGAATCCATTTGATCCATCAGTCAGTCATAATGGGACGAAAGAATCCCACGAGCCTGGCGATGTGCAGTGCAAGAACTGCCAGCAATGGGTTCCTGAACGGACATTAGTTCTCCACGAGAACTTTTGTCTTCGCAATAATGTATTATGTCCGCAATGCCAGAATGTCTTCCAAAAGCGGTCTCCAGAGTGGCAAGGCCACTGGCACTGTCCACACGACTCCGGCCATGGCCACGATGCACCAAGCAAAGAAAAACATGACGCTATCTTCCACCAAACATACAAATGCACCGACTGTGCGGGAGAGTTTGCAGGACTTCCTAGTCTTGCGCAACATCGCACTGGAGATTGTCCTGGGAAGTTGATTCTCTGTCAATTCTGCCATCTTCTCGTGCCACAGAAAGGCGATTCTGAGCCTGATTTCCGTGACCCCGAGGTGATGCTCTCCGGCCTCACTCCACACGAACTGGTGGACGGAGGACGCACCACCGAATGCCATCTGTGTAATAAGATTATCCGATTACGAGACATGAACACCCATCTTCGTCACCATGACCTGGAGCGCCTTTCTCGACCCGCACCGCGAATATGTATGAACAGGAATTGCGGCAGGACATTGAGCAAAGCCGGAAATGAGTCAGTTGGCCTGTGCAGTTTCTGTTTCGGACCGCTGTATGTGGACACGCACGATCCAGAGGGTAAAGCACTGCGTCGGCGTATTGAACGCCGATATCTTTCCCAGATGATGACCGGATGTGGAAAGCCCTGGTGTCAGAATGAGTATTGCAAAACCGCAAAGCAGAAAATGGCACCTGACTCTGTCCCTCCAGTCGCGATGAGTGTGGTGGAAATCATGAAGTTGACACGCCCACTTGTCGAAGCTCTCAATATCCAGCCCGATGTGCCTAACACGGCGCCTTTGTATCTCTGTGCTGATGAAACAAGTCAGCACCGTCGCGATCTCGCGGAGTTGATTGCAGCAGAGAGCGCTGGAGGGAATGACAAAGTGTATGAACTACCATGGTGTATTGCAGCAGCCGAAGCCGCGGGTGGCGACTTGGAGAAGGCGAGAGAGTGGCTGTCTAAATGGGCACCAACTCAGGACGCAACGAGTACATGAGTCCTTCCGGGTGTTGATTGAGACATAATGTGATATGAGAATATGCCCAGGTGGGCTTGTTTGCATCAAGTAAGGACCACAAAGCTTACGAGTCAGAAGACAGAAGAATCTAATAATGCATAATGAACGATGTATAAACACAGCTGGAACTTCATAATATTCATGATTAAAATGCAAAGGCTGATCTAAAACTGAGACCCTAGACGCCGTAGCCACTACTAGCGTAAAGGACCATCCATGCAATGCATAGACAGAGAATGTGTATTAACCAAAGCCTAACCCTTTCAAGCCGCGCCTGTCTTCGTAGCTAGCGAGCCGGTGCCACGCGAAGAGAAGATACCCATAATTCCAAAAACAACATAGAATAGAGCCAAGGGATACGCCACGAGGCCCCTCATGCCACTCATGCGCGCCACGGCGCAGAACATCCCCGACGAACTGTATGTGCACCAGCCAACAGCGGCAATAGTCAGGAGATAGCCGAACATGGTATCCATGGGAATCAGAATACCAATGAGACTGGTAAGCACCAAAGGAAGGAAGCAGTAGCCCAGCACGCTAGCTGAGCGCGGGAAGGTCAGAGTAGCAGAGAAGTGGCCGGCGGCCGAGGCACCGGACATGGAGGGTTTGTGGTGGGGGTTGTAGTTGGTAGGGTCGGCGGCGTTTGGAGTCGGGACGGTGTCGAGAGCGGGAGACATGAGGCTGAGGATCAGATGCAAAGCGACGGTACCGAAAACGGCGACGCCGTAGATATAGCCGTAGAACACCTTGCCGGAGAGAAGGAGGAAAGTGCCGTACAAGACGATGTAGAGCAGAGCTCCGTAGAGGTCGCTATCGTCCATAAGGTGATTATCGATAGAGGCGAAGGGATTTAGAACAGTCAGAGTCTAGAGAATGAAACCGTTAGCATCCAACATCGGGCAGCATTCACTCTTGACCAGGACTGCAATTAAATTAAACCCGGGGTAAAAAGCAAGCCACCCGCAAGACCTAAACCCCATGTCTCCTGAACGCCCCTAATATAAAATAATTCACTGACCTTGGTCCGGATATGTTCAAAGTTGACACCCAACTCCTCAAGCAACGGTGGTTCCCCGTCATACCCCTCCGTCCCAAATGCAGCCAACCAACCCGTCCTCAAGCCGCCCTGCTCGCCCATCCGTCCGCTGACGCCAGCGGCCGGGGACCCAAAGCCCCCATACCCACCACCGGCAGGATAAGCCTGCACAGAGGGATTGGGAGCTCCGCCATATCCGGCGCCATAGGATGCTTGGGAAGGGGTTGTGTGACCGGAAACCGAGGAGTAGGACGATGGGAAGAACTGGAGATTCTGTGGTGCGGAGCCTTGGGGGGCGTAGCCCGGCTGTTGTGGATAGTATTGAGCCATTGCCGCGACTGAAGGCGTGGAAGAGCGAAAAATCGCTATTTTCCGCTCGGATGTAGGACGTGCTTGGGATTCTTGGAGAGTAGTGCCTGGCTAAAGTGTGGATTGTTGTAGAGCTTCAAAGCTCCAAATGGCCTCACCTGGGCAATAATGTTGGATGACTAAGCTCCTAATCGGCGGGCCCGACTGGGCCCAGCGAACTAAACTCAAATGTAGTACGGATGCATTGTAGTCATATAGAATGTTCAACGTCAACCTGGACTTTATTGGAATTGGTAAAGCAATGCATAAGGTATGGTTGAATCCGCAAGAAATCTACTTCGCCATGTTTACAGGAAATTGATACCGATGCCCAGCTGGAGCCCTTTGCGGCCCTCTTCGCCCTTTCGCAATGCCAGAGGCAAGGAAAAGTTAAGCTCGAAGCGAGCGACAGGGTGAGCATACACAATACCGAACCCAGCTGCGACACTGGGCAGTCCGCTTTGTAGTTCAGCGAGAGTTGAGACCAGGGCATCCTGCACCTCACCATTAGTAGTTGGAATGGCTTTCTGTGAGGTTCGCAGAGAAAGCAAGCGGCCACCGTTCAAGAAGGCCTGGAACCGCACTGGTTTCTCAGCCCCAAGTCGGGGAAGCGGGAATAGCAGATTGGCGCTTCCGGCAGCGTACACATCCCCGCCAAGTGAATCGACGCCCTCCCGGGGACCAAGACCGCAGAGGCGGAATCCACGGACATCAGTAGGTCCTCCAAGCTGGAAGCGGTCATTGACACGGGAAAGTTGAGGGCGGGGTTTGGACTCTAGTCCAAGAGGGTAGAGAAGACCGGCACGGAATCCAGTGGTGAGGCTGACGCCGCTGTCACCCTTGATTCCTGGGATCGGAATAGGGATTGCACCTTGTGTCTCAATTTCCGACTTCCAGAAAGAGACATCGCCCTTGAGCGGGCCAAACCCGGCCAGCTCGTTGAAGGCCTTGGCATAGTAACCACGAGATGGCAGAAGGGCATTGTCCCGCTGGTCATTAACCCAGCTATGGAAAATGCTGCTCTTCACGCTGTCACCTGCGTCTGCGCGGACGGTAGGGGAGGCGTTCTCCGCAAGGCCAGTCAGCTGTCTCCAGAAACCGTTGTATCCAAATTCGTGTCGGTGGCCTGACTTGGACATCCATCGGAGCTTGCTCCAGCCACCCCTGAGAACCTCCTCGTGGCTTGCCCAAGACTTCTGGGTGGAGCTTGCACTACCGCCAATCTCTAGGCGGAAATCGGGATCACCCAAGATCGGAGTCTCAAATGCAGCCTGGTAAGCGGACCGTGTCCGGGTACCGAGCGAAGCGTTCAGGTTCAAAGTCTCAGCGCCACCAAAGACATTGCGCCAGAGAAGATTACCGTAGGCTGAGCCCTCAGCATTGCCCAAGTCCGTTCCAGTCTTCATCAGCACGCGGGACTTCTCCCGCGTCGCCAGATGGACATCGATGTTGCGTATGCCATTTTGGCCTTGTGACTCATCCAGGTAAACCGAAATAGGCTGGTGGAATAGATCTGAGATGATGTTAGTAGACACCCATCTTTATTATGATCCCGCCATCTCATACCGAAACGTCCAAGTTTATCTGCGGTAGCCGACACTTCCCGCAAAGCTTCGGACAGTGTATAGGGCCGACCCTTGTTTGCGCTCAAAAGCGGGCTCAAGTTGTGCTCAAGGAAGCTTCGTCGGGTATGGGGGGCGCTGGTGACTTGAACAGAGGAGATGGTGCAGGGCAAGGTCGAGTTTTCGTCGATCTAATAGATTTCGTGATCAGCCGGGGAACTCCGCAAGCAAACGCGAATTGCCTGTCATCAAGCTTCTAGGATTTGAAGACCATACCAATTCAGCAAGTCGATTTTGAGCCTTTTGGTAAATAGCTTGCATGCGCTCATTAACGGCCTGCTGTTGCTCTTCCAACACCTTGGGGTCTGCTCGCTGTTGCAGACGCTCAAAAACCTAGAAGTGAACAGAAATCAGTAGAGCGTCAACTGGACATTCATGCAGTTCGTGAGCTGCCCAAGATATGCACTAACACTCTCGTCTCCTTCAGCAAAAGAGGAGGACATTTTCGCGGCTACAATGGCCAGAACTTTCGGCCTCCGGGGAATAGATCGGGGTGCGCGTGCCGAACCCGCAAGATATGGAACCTGCACGTGACTCGGCGAACGTGAACGCCTGATTGCGACACTCCACCTTTGACTCCGCAACTTCTTTCACTGTTCATTTTTCGTCCCTCGGATTCGTTGTCTCAGTGCTCATAAAACACTGGCTTGTCTTGTTTTGCTTTGCGAAGTCTCTTTCTTCTGCTCATATTATCAAAGATGGCCACGAAAGCGGCCTTCAAACGGGTAAGTGGCCAGACCTCAGGCTAATCGGTTATCCGTGGATAGTGTCTAACAATATTTACTATAGCTCACCCGTGAATACCAAAATATCCAAAAGGATCCCACGCCATTTATTGTGACCCATCCATCTGAGACCAACATCCTTGAGTAAGTGATCTTACATCCCCTCACGTTGCCGCATTGCCGCAGAACTCCGAAGCTAACCTGCTGTAGATGGCATTACATCCTCACTGGACCTCCGGGGACTCCTTATGAGAATGGACAGTACTGGGGTACATTGATCTTTCCGCCGGAGTACCCATTTGCTCCTCCCGCCATCCGCATGCACACACCCAGTGGCCGATTCCAGCCCTCCACTCGACTCTGTCTAAGCATCAGTGACTTCCACCCGAAATCCTTCAACCCCGCCTGGGAAGTCTCGACCATTCTCATCGGTCTTCTCTCTTTCATGACCAGTGAAGAAATGACCACGGGAAGTGTCAGTGGTTCAGAAAGTGAGCGCAGAGTGCTTGCCGCGCGATCTCGGTGGTGGAACTCGACCGGAGGAGGTTCTCATGTCAGCGCCACTGCCGGCGTCACTCGAACTTCCAAGGGTATCAACAATGTCAAGGCGGGAGATGGTGGCTTGAAGTTCCGCACAGAATGGCCTGAACTCGACCAGGAAAACTGGGCTTGGATGAAAGAGCATCGCATCGATTCCGCCACCGGCCAGATTTTGCCAGATCCCAATGCGCCCACCAAGTGTTCCCCAGAGACAAGTGCTTTACGTCGACGACCCAACGGCAGTGCTCCTGGAATCGGTTCTGTTGTGGATGGTGGACACGTTGCGAGAGAGGCTGGTCAAGGCTGGGCCGGACGAAACCGAATCTGGATATGTGTTGCTGTCTTCTTTGGCTATGCACTGATCTCACGACTGTTGAGTGATATGCGAGCATGAGACTGAACTATTTTCTTTTATTATGTTAGAATACCCTTTGTCTTCATGTTTTAACCTAGGCTTTTTTTTGGTTGTTGTTGTCCTGTCCTTAGCGGGTTCGCAAGCATTATTCGGGCGCCATGAAGATCTTTTTTTTTCCAAGACAATGAAGTGCAAAAGTTATTGAATACTTGAAGAACATCTATTCCAAATACAGGTTACACCGTTGAGCACCGGATCATCCCAGACGATTAGCGCTGAATCCGGCTTGTGCTCCCCCGCATTGGCAACGTAACTACGCTCCTTTTCTCTTCTAAATCCGCCTTCACCCAACTGCATAGCCTGCTATCCACTTCTTTATTGGTTTGTATTCTGTGTTTTGCCTCTCTTCCTTTGCATTCCGAACTTGCCTTGGCCTTCGGATGGATCATCTGCAGCCTTTCACCTTTGGTTCGCCTCGGCATACCCATTCAGGTCAGTGCTTTCTGGTTTTGATATACTTGATATCGGGGGAGGCCTTAGTGGAACCCAGAATCCTGTTGGCTTCTCTTTTTTGGCTTCTTTTGCCCCTTGAGGTCAGATTCACACCAATGCTGATTGATATTGCTGTTTGTTTGTTATTTATCTATGAATTCCCCCATCAGTCAGCAGCGTTAGAGTTGCACCAAAGAGAATATCCTCGATTGTCAAGAGCTTGGACTGAAGTACCCTACTAGAACCCAAGGCCAAACCTGCGCCGCTAGATCGGCCTTCCTTTACATTCATCGATCACGACGATGACTTGACCTCCAAGAGGATTAAAGATGTCAATGCACGCAAAGCTATTCGTTCCCATGTGATGCGCGATGTACGCCGACGTGAGAGACTCGCTGGGTTAAAACGAACATCCAGACAGAATCGCGGGCAACCCGACACTTCCAAGGCTGCCGTTGACGAATCGGACGAACAAAGACTGGTGTTGAGGGCTTCACCTCAGTCCTCTGCTTCGTCTTCCATACTGGATACAGGCTCTGGAGACGGTTTTACCTCAATTTATCGTGGGCGTCCTGTCAGGTGGTGTGCTGGTTATCCTTTACCTCTCCATTCAAATCCTAATCCACCTACATCGTGGTTTCTTGATCCTTTCTTTACATTGCCCGGTACCAGTGAGCTTCCTTCGATGGTTGCACATTTGGTGTACTATTGTAAGTATTACTCATTCAGCATTGCCCATTGTTCTGGTCGTTTTAAGTATTCGTACTGCATGGCCTCCCCAGAATTATAGCTGACTGCAGGGCGAAGGGAAAACGATATTCGTACCGATGACTTTCCCGAACACGAGCAAAGATTCAAACCAAGAGATGGAACTAATGGTTCGATCCTCATTCTCGGATCCGGGTAGTTTCTTTGGGCTGATGAGCATGTGCGCTGCACATCGTGCCGTTCTCGCAAGCCAGCGATCGGGTAATTGGGACTCGGTGCTCACCAACGACCCTGACTACTGTATGATGAGAGCAAAGTCCATTCAAGAGATGAGCGCAAAAGTACGGGATCCGAGTCGCAGACTCAGTAACGAGGCGTTTGATACTATAATCAACCTTCTCACTGGTTCGGTATGGACTGTTCGTGAATGTCGGGCTGCAGTGCTGCAGTGTTGCTAACATCCCATAGCTGATTATCGGAGAATTTAGCGAGGTGCACACTCACCTAACAGGGCTTAAAAATATGGTTGATCTGCGAGGTGGAATAACGGATGAGAGTATTCGTTCTTCCTCTATGTTGTCTGCCATCATCACGTACGTGTGTTTTCGGTTCGCCTCTACTGGGTTCCGCTCACTGTTATGCAATAGAACCGACATCAAAGCCGCTTCTGGCCTAATGACCAAACCCGTTTTCCCATTAACTTGGGATGCACAGCCAATTCCTTCGGAGATCCAACAAAGAATCAGACCGCTGGCTTCGTCTCCTCTCAACAGACTGGGCACGGGATTTTCTGCCAATACATTCCTCAGTCCCTCCTTATTGAAGATTATAAGCGTGCTTCGTGACATGGTATTCTTTAGCATCACTTATCAGACGAATCCTACAGTCATTAAACCTGGTGACCAAGACTTTTTCCGCATCCTCAACTGCGAAGCAGAGCATCAACTTCTCAGCTATATCTATGCAGAAGGTTCGCCCAACCCGGAGCCCAATCTTCATCCGATTGAAGCAGTCACCCGAGTGGCTTCTATTTGCTATCTCAATCATTTTCTGATTGTCTCACCTTCATCTTCTGGATTGGGTCGAGCCCTTACGAAACACCTCAAGACAGCGTTGGATAGCTGCAAATTGTCTCTTCTTGTGGGATTGCCAAATCAAAACTTTGGACTTTATGTTTGGGCATTATTTATCGGAGCCCAAGGTGCCCTTGGGCAGCCCGAGAGGCAATGGTTTGTGGAGCGGCTGGCCCGTGTCGCAATGGTATGTGGATGGCAATCGTGGGAGCAGATTTCGAAACTTATGGGGGAATTTTTCTTTGTTGCAGCTTTGGACAGCTTAAATTGGCGCTCTATCTGGGACGAAGCGATGACTGGGTTTGTGATATCCGAGTCGGAGGAAGTGGAATTATCATCTCTTCTTGGAGCGGGTGTTCTCTCCCTTACTTAGCTCTCAATTATGGGCACTTGTACATTTCGCACGGCAAAATCAGCAGTAATAGTAATAACAAGCAAAAAAATTTTTTTTTCCGAAATCAAAAGAAAGGAAGTCCGATTATTGAAGATATAAAAAAGATGAAGTATAAACCCCCCCGAGGTTGGCTGATTTGTTTACATCTCACCGCTTTAGGCTTGACCTATCACGTGTCAGCTTTATGTCATCAAAAAAAGTCCGCTTTCTCCGGTCTTTTATCGCTGTCGCTTTCGCCTTGGATCTTACCATAAAATTTCTTTGCTTCATACTTCAAAATGGGTTGGTTCTGGGCAGACACTCCGCAGACTTCCCCGGTTTCGATTCCACCTGCGTCCTCAAACGCATCTCCTCCGGTTCGTTTTGCGCATACTGTCTAGCTTTGATCATTTAGACTGACTCGTATCGAAAGCCGGGATGTCCGATGCATGAATCCGGCTCGAAGCCCTCACCCTTGCCAGCACCTGCTGCTGAACTCCCCAGCAGCTGTCCCATGAAATCGAAAGATTCTCCATTCTACTCGGCCCCAAAATCAACACCGGCGCAGACACCCCAGCCACCCACCGACACCGCGGCGCAGCCCTCAACCCTCTCAAAGCTTAATCCTCTGAACTACATGTTCTCATCTATATCCCAAGAGCGAGCCGCTAATCAAACCGTTGACCTTCCTGTAGAGCGTGAAGGCTCTTCAATCCCAAGAGGCGACGGTGAAGGCAACTGGGAGTATCCGTCTCCGCAACAAATGTACAATGCCATGCTGCGCAAAGGACACACGGACACACCCCAGGATGCGGTGGAGTCGATGGTTGCAGTGCACAACTTCCTGAACGAAGGTGCCTGGGACGAAATTGTGGGATGGGAGCGCGTATTCGCCAAGGGTCTCAAGTCTGGATGGGAACACTGCCGCCGCGGCGAGGAAAACCTGAGCATAGACTTGGCCTATGCAGACGAGAATGGTAAATTCGATTTGACCTCCGAGCCTCGTCTACTCCGGTTCCAGGGTCGGCCGCAAGAGTGGTCACCTAAGGCACAGATATACCAGGCACTGAGCTGGGCGTACCCAAGCAAATTTGAGTAAGGACTATCTTCCCGGTATTTGCACTAGGCAAAACGCTGACTCCAATTCCAACAGGATAAGCCCTCCATTTGACCGTCACGATTGGTATGTCATCCGCCAGACACCTTCGGGCCCGAAGGAAGTTCGATACGTGATCGATTACTATTCTGGGGATCCAGATCCCCACGGACTGCCTGTCTTCCACCTTGATATCCGCCCTGCGTTAGATACACCAACGGCCGCTGTCGAGCGCTTAATGAGGTGGGGAGGTGATGTCTGGTGGAGGGCTAGCGGCGCAAGTGTTCGTGAACAGGCCTCGCGCTAAAGGTGCTTGGCAGCTGCAACAACCATGCTGCCTGCTTCTCCACTCTGTAATTATTCGAAGGCATGGCGCTGGCGTTCCATTGCTTATCTTCGCCTGTGCTTGTATGATATTTATCTTCTGCCCTCTTGTCTTATATCGCAACCTCGGCCTTTTTCCGTTAGTCTATGAAAATGGACACATGATAATGATATATTTGCATTAATTTTAGTTTTCCCCCCAAATATGAGAAGTTTCTCTTTTTTCTTGCAGATTTCTCTAAAATATCAAAAATAAACCAAGTATGCCTGTCTTTATACCATTCGATGGGCATCCTACCTGAGCTTTCATATCAACAGTGAAGAATTGGGCGTGTATGGCACAGAAAAGAATGGCGATCGGTGTTATATATTAGGGGACAGTTGGTCATACTTGACGCAATACTCAACACTCTCAATGCTGGCCTGCAGCATTCCACGAGCCTCCAGGCCGACCCAGACCCAGAGCATTGAGTAGTCGCCCGAGCGCACAGTTTCCAAGAATGAACTGCCAGATCCCAATTGCCGTAGAATAGGAAGGGCACTAGACAAAGTCAGCTTCAGTTGAGCAGGTCGATAGCCTCGTGGAGAAAACTCACCTCTTGAACAGATCTAGGTTGGGGTTCAAAGTACGTCCTATTCCTTCAAGCAAAAGACATGAAATGACGACGTTGACAAAATCTCCTTCAAACCGAACGTGGTGCCCGCGGACCATAGTCAATACCTCACTTAGGATATCGCCAATCTTGACACTCCCCAGAGCGAAGGTTCGAGACTTGATACTCAAGACCAAATGCTGCATTTTCAGCGCAAATATCTCCGGATCAATGACCTCTTCTGGTGTTCGGCATCGCTCGACCATAAGTTGACCGGCCCGGTATCCGTCAAATTCAGCAATAGCTCGAAAGAGGTCCAGGAAGTTCTGTCGGTTGGTGTCGTTTAGCTGGGTGACAAGGCCAGTGTCGATAAATATCAACTGCGGTCGATACCCCTCGTCATTGAGCTGGGAAAGAGCAGCATTCCAATCCTCGGCGTCATGGAGATTCGGACGTAGCCGCTCGAGGACCGCCTCTGTCACATCAACTTCGGCCCGTGTCGGAGCATCTAACGCACGCGAGCGCTTGCCAAGGGAGAGGTCCAGCTCGCTGGGCGTGTAGAAACGAACCATGATGTTCCCCGGATGGAGATCGGCATGGACGAAATTGTCTATGAGCAGCATATGCAAGAATGCATCAAGGCCTTCATTGGCAATATCGTGCTGATATAGCCCTCCTCCGATATCCAAAAAGGTAGCCAACGGGATGCCCTGGGCAAATTCCTCAACCAGCACCTCACGGGTGGTGTATTCTAAGTATGGGTATGGGAACCAAGCAGTAGTGCGCGAATTGAATTTTTGGCGGAATATGACGAGGTTGGCAGCTTCAATCCGAAGGTCCAGCTGTAGCTTCATCATTTCGCCAAACTGTTGTACTTCATCAGGGAAAGACAACCATTGCATCGCAGGGATGATGTTGATCATGTGAGCGAAAAATGACATGATCCGCAAGTCTCTATGTATCATTTGTTCAACCCTGGGGTGCTGCACCTTGATCGCGACATACGAAGATGGCACCCGCTGCGGGGAGCTCTTGACCAGCACATCGACATTTTTTCGGACCTTCTCGCCCAGTGTTGGAGGATCGATGCCCAACTCTTCTCCATGGTTCGCAGCAAGGCTCGGTTTCAACTTCGCCTTGTAGACCTGTGCAATTGCTCCAACACCCAGTGGCGCCTCTTGGAACTCTTCGAATATGTCTTCGAATGGCAGTCCATTAAATGCTTTGCGGATGATACGCTTCGTCTGGTGAAGTGAGTGAGCGGGGGCATTTGAGTGAAGTGACGACATTATATTGCACATTTCCGGTGGGAAGATATCTGTTCGTGAAGCAGCCCATTGGCCAAGCTATTCCAGAAGTCAGCTTGTCAGTTCAGTTTCAATGGACAGTTCTTGGCCAACCAAACTTACCTTGATGAACGCAGGACCAGCCCGCTCCATTGCCTTCACCAAGAACCGATACCACCACAATGTGCCAGACCGCGCGCCACCCCGGCCCTGCACTTTTCGACCAAACCAGATGGCGGGCACGGTGGCGACGACCGGAATGAATATGATGGCAAGGTGAAGGAATCGAATCCCTGTAGCAATAGGGTCGTAGACATAACAATAAAAATAGACCCATATCGTCTGGCAGAGCTTCGAAAGACCTTGCGCGTCGGGTGAAACCGTCTTCCGGGCCTCTTCGCGCGAGGCCTCCAGCATCTGCATTTCCGCGGTCTTGTCGTGGCCGTCATGCTCTTCCGCCAGCTTTAAAAAGGCCGCTGGTGCCAGAGTAGCCATGAGCACCCCGCCTATTACGGGAGCCCTTCGCGGTGTGCCTCTTAGTAGTTGCCGAGGCCATGGCGGGCGACTGAAATGTTGTCGGGGGAGACGCGGAAGTCCGCGCTTGAGACAGAAACGGCCGAAGAGACCGGCCGCCCTCATATTATCATGCAGGTATTAACATAGAATGGCGAAGCTAGTAGAAATATCTAAGTCGAAGTAAGAAGTAGCCTCGGAGTAGAGCTCCTGCTCAAGATCCTAGGCGATAAACACGTGCCGCGACGTCATATATGAGCGGGCAACCAAAAGAGACAAACAAGACAAACGAAACAAACCCTACCTCCATTGGATGGATACAACTTGTGCACTACTAACATATGTAGGTATGCATGACTTAGCTAATTATGAAGATAAAGCTTTCATTGTTTAGGCTCTAATCTTCCGAAGTTGTCAATGCCATGCATTCCACAACCACATTCCTCCTACTTTGTCCGCTTGCAATAAGACATTACCTAATCCGGCAATGTACGCGGCAGATCCTAGCTCTTTGTCAAGGAGAAAGAGTTGACGGGGTCGATCTTGTTTTATAGCAGTTTCTGTTAGTGACTGCTAGGACTTCCAAGGCCCGAAAACGGATCCTCAAGCCTCATTCAAACGACCGGAAAGATGGTCTTGCTCAACATTAAATTGGGACACCATGCCCAGAAATTCACAACGGCTTGTCCATTATCTTCAGTTTCTCGAATGACTCCCAGATGGCGCGAGAACTATTAATCATGGGTCGTACCCAGAACCTTCGCGATATCGAGTCCAACAATGAGAAAAAGCACTCGCACTGGCATGATTGGGCCTTTGTCCTTCTGTGGGGCGTTATTGGCTATGCCTGCCTCATTTTGATGGTGTTAGCCTACTCCAACCCGGGCCTTATACCCTTTGATATCTCTTCATTACTGTTTCGCAAGGAGATTTCTCCATTCTTCGCATTCTCGCAAGGAACGGGTCATTACTCTAAGCCGCAGGGCTTCAAGATAGTTGCTCTAGTTCCCTTCCATTACCATGAGCGGACAGCAATCTTGGACTGCTACTTGCAGGTATGCACAGTCTCGACGTTACTATATTGATTAAATCTAACATAATTCAAGAAAAACTTAGTCCATAATAATGGATTTCTTGATCAGGTCGTCTTTGTGCCGCAGACCGATGACGCCGCCAGCATGGAATGGCTCTATTCTATCGTGAATCAAACACCCGAGTATGCTATTTCTTCTCGTGGTCATGAAATGGAATGGGAAGATGCAAAGGATGATGTGATGTACATCCGAATCGACGGCGATGTCGTCTTCCTGGAGGACAACGCCATTTCGACCATCGTCAAGACGAAACTCGACAATCCAAGCGCACTGCTGGTATCGGCTAATGTGATAAACGAGGCAGCGCTGGCATCTCTTCACAGTCATCCGGGACCTGCACTTCCATATCTACCAGAATTGTACGACGTGAAACAACCGTCCCGATCAAAGTCCCAACTGAAGCACGATTGGCGCGCTTCAAGTCTTCCAAGCTGGCAGGGCCCGCTGAGCTTCAAAGTAGGCAAAGACTTCGATCCGCCATTTGAAGGGCATCGGTGGCTACTTCCCAGGGATGCGGGCTCTGATCGAGATCCTATCGCGAGATCCGTATACACCGACACTGGTCCAACCCTGCACGACTGGACAGTTGGTGCGCAGCAACATTACTCCTTGCACCACCTAGAACATAATGATTTGGGCCGTTACAAGTTCCCGATGTGGGTCGATCCTACAGAACCCACCAGCGAGAATTTTGGGTGCTTCTGGGGTAATGATGCAGTTGATGTGCACCGTATTTTCCGCAACAACCAAAAGGGTTCCTCGTGGGATGGCTCTCGTCCGCATGTCATTATAGATGGCAAGGGGCTTGTTTCACATTATTCTGCTCTCCAAGGTGCGGCTGGTCTGGACGCTACGGATCTCCTAACTCGTTATCGAGCGTATGCGCAGGAGAAAGTGTGTTTGCAGACCGAATGATCTCGAAACCCCTGGGTGACAGATTGTGTCGATTGGTGGAGGAAGTTACAAGTACATATACATATATACACAACCATTTTGTTCAACTTTCGCACGTCTACAACTAGGTCTTATAAAGAAGTATATTCTTTTTGCTCAGGTGCTCGAGCTATCTCGACATGTATGCATTCAAATTATCATGTTCTGAGGGATCCATACAGCAAGAAATTTCCCTCTGTTTTGGTTACTCCAGAGAGGTATTCCATGGCGTTCTACGAGGCCATTTCTAGGCAATATTGGTTCGACAGTCTAAACGAAAGCACACATTTGGTCGAGGCATCACATCATACCATGTTTGAGCTCTTCGATTAAGCATCTGTTACAGCCTTCAACTGTGAGGCATTGACTTTCACCAAGTCTTCCAGCATACCTCTATAACCCACGGGAAGTGCAGCAGACTATTTTCCGGTTAGGAGATGACTAGCATTATTCTAGGGCAGAGAGAAGAAAAAGAACTCACCTCGTTCGTCAGCAGTCCTTGCACAAGCACAAAAGCGTTGTCACGGTCTTTGATCTCTTGCGACTTGTCTGTCTCCTCGGCCTTATCTTGATTAGGAGTGCCCCCGCCTAGGGTCGTCTTGAGCAACTCGGTAACCTCTGTCTTGTGCAAGCAGTCCACAACGGCGGCACAACCGAGTTTGTTTGTGGCCATTAGAGCTAGAGCAAACCAGCCTTCACTGCGAACGACAGGCCACTGAGTTTGTGTGATCATCGCACCTACCGGTAACGAAACACCCTCGTGCAGGGAGTACAGCCGGTCAAGCAAGGACCTTGCTTCTTCATCTCCATCGCGAGCCTTGGGGCTAACGGTCCGACAAATCGAAGCGACCGTCCGTCCAATTTCAGTCTTGATTGGCGTGGAGTCTGTTTTCTCGAAGAGAGACAGGAGGAGAGAGAGATAGGTCCGTTGGTGAGCCGGGGAATCAAGATCTTGCGAGAGAGGAGCGAGAAGATGGGAAATGTTATCCATCGAGGAGATAATCACCTGGCGCGCAATACTTGCAGCCGAAAATTGAACCTGCGGAACAGATTCAAACGCCCACAATCGTGAAATTGCAGGAATGATACCAGCTTCTCCAAGAATGGCTCTGTTGTCGCCGGCAATTGCTAGGTTCTTCAGGAAACCAAGCGAAGAATGTAGGACCGCACCACGGGCATCACCTTTGAGAAGGGATATCAATTCTTCGTGGATTTTCAGGTCCCGGACCATCACCTGGCAGATCTCGTCGGACCGGGCGAGATTTCCAAGCATAACACAGGCGCAGATCTGAAGCTGATCTTCGGTTGCAACCACCCATGACTTCAGAGTCTGTGAAAGAGCAGAGTCAAGGGGGTAGTATTGGGCGAACAATGGTGAGGCAGACACCTCAGCCAAAGCCTGGTTAATCTTGAGGCGGACCTGTGCGAGAGCCTTGACGTCTTCGCTCAAAGAAGGGTCCACCACAATCGAAAATGAATGGCGCAGGACGTCCAGCACGCCTTCCACCATTCCATTTGACACGCAGATATTCTGGAACCTTTCGTTCTCTAGGTAAGCAGCAAGAGAAGTCGCCAATGATGAGAAATGTGCAAAATCAAGACTTTCATCAATGGCAAGCTCTATCAGAAGTAGAATGGTTCCATCGGGGGAGTGTTCAATGCCTTCGGCTGTAAATTACATGTTAGATCGGAAAACAGACTGAGGTTAAGATAAAACATACCTTGCTCTGAGGCCAACTCAATCAAGTCGTATGAGAAATTGAGTAGAGCCTCGTTGTCTTCGATCTCGCCATCTTTGATCAGCTTCAATAAGATGTAAGCCGCCCGATTGGCAGCTATCTGAGCATGTGCTGGTTCTGATATCACATTAGCAAGACATGTATCACCAGCCAGTTCTTTCTGAACGTACTGTAATCCATGCAAATGTTGTAGATGACCGGAATGGCAACAAAAACCAAATCCGGATCGAGGAAGTATCGAATGATAGCAAGGGTATAGTTTCCCTTGACAACGATCTCCCTGTTCTCATCTGCATCAATGTTAGTTATCTGGGCACATACGTGACAAATTGCAGCGTACCTGTATCGGCACAAGAGTTTCCAATAACTCGCAAAGAATGAAGCAACAAGCTAGTATCAACTTCGCCTTTCAAAGAAACCACATCCAGGAAGAAGTTCAGAACACCAGACTGGCCAAATGGAGCACGCCATGAAGCTGAATTATAATTAGCAAGTCATAAAACCAACATATAGGTAGGATTGACCCACGATCTCTGCTACCATTCGCAATAATCTCAGTAGCTTGAACCAAATAATCGGAGTTACAAGCCCAGAGCTTTTGCAGAGTAGCGCTCACACTTTGTAGTGTATCGGCGTCCCGTCGCCCACGTTTTGTGTTTGCATCGGCCTCTTCAAGAGATGCATGGAGCTCTTTGAGATCGAGGCTATTTCCATCCTCGTCGACCTCCTGGGCCTTCTCAATGATGTCTCGCAATTCACGGAACATCTCCTGTTGCTCTTCCGGGTCAATGGTTTCCGTTCGGGGTGGTAAAGAGGAAGAAACCTCCGGTAGATCTGAGAGGATATTGTTGATAGAAGGCAATTCCAAACCACCCTCTTTCGAGACTGAGTAGCCAGCATCTTCATGAACGGCCAGTTTGGCGGTAGATATACCCGAGTCAGACATCTTGCCGAATTGAGGTCAGATAGTTGCCTCCGGACTGTGGAGTAATTTGGAAGGGTCCGTGTTGACTTGAAGATATGAAGGTACGGATTCCTTGGCCGAAGTGGAAAGGGCCTTCTCAGTTAGATGGAGGAGCCTAGATGGCAGCCTGTTGACCCCCGACGCGGCAATTTAAACACTGTAGACAAACAGCGTTTTCTCTGATATGAAATTACTGGTGGCTTTTAATCAGGCAACAAGCCTAAAATTGATTCTTGATATTAGTGGAAGACAAGCTCTCCAGAAATATCGCAGATACAAAGTAAATTTAGACTCTTTCGTGGAGAGACGGAGTGTGCTGCCTGAGGTGGATTCAGGCACCAATCTCGTTTAGGTTAGGCCGAGTAGGGTGTTTATACGGAGCCCATGGTTTTCTGTTTGCATCACTCATTTGGAAAATCATATGGAAAATAACATAGAAAATAGTAGTCAACATATACTAGTTAGTGTATCTATCCACAAAGACCAAATATCAGTTCTTGTCTGTGATCACGTGCTCCACTCAGACTATGTGTAGGAAGCTTTTGGAAACTCAAGAGGGAAAAGAAACTACCCGATAAATAACTAATACAGCTGTGTATTAATCACGTTAATTTGCAGGGCTCTCTCTCTCTCACTAGAGAGATTTTGAGATTTTTAATAGGCAAAATACATAGATCCGATGACTGGGAAAAATAAAAAAGATGGAGCTGCGCGGAATCGAACCACGATATTCAAGGAATGAATCATGAAATTTCCCAGTTAGGGAGAATTACATAAGCTTGATGGACTAACCATTATCCTACAGTTCCTTAACCGGTAGCCTATAGCTTCCAATTTTGGGAAATAAAAGCATTGGAGCGTGGTCGTGTTCGAAATCCTTCAATCTTAGTATATGAAACGAAGACCTTCACATCTAGTAAAGGCATTCAGTATTCCAAGAAAGCTCCCGAGGTCACTTCAGAGCTTACTTAACCAGCATTATCTCATAGTTAAGCTCCCTTTTCGCTCAGTATTAAAATTTGAGGTATGGAGTAGATAGATCCATAAAATTCATTCCTTGGCGTAGGGTCTAGGGCAAATTCGGCAACGTGATCTCAAGCTTCCGTCGTTTCGTTGTAACTATAACTTCCTGTCGCTGGCAATTACGGCCATCTGTGTCGCAGAGGTGAATGGGTTCCTCAAACCCCCTTTGGGACGTGGTATTATCATGGCGTAGACAGGGCTCCCCGCTCGGTTGATGTAACCTTTAGCTCATCCTGTAAAGCGCTAGCGTGACCGTTCCGTATCCCCGACATATTGACGGCGCTTCTAGATCACGATCCATTGGCTACAAAATCCACTTGTTTTTCGATTGACTATCACAATAATGGTCCCGAGTCCCGATATCCGCATTTCATGCGCTAAGCTGATACCAGGCATCTTAATGTATACTGCCTCGTGTTGAGGTTTGAATTTAAGGGATTCAAGACACTGCGGATTTTCCCGCCCTGCTTTTGATATGATGCTCTTGGCTGAGAGACAAATGATGTAACTAGTTATGTACCTTGCTTTGCCTAGAAGTATAGATATGCCAGTGCCATTGGATCTCCACCTCTGTAAGAAAGACCGAGAAAGCTGTACAATGTGGTTACTGTGCCTGGTAATTCTCTAGGTAGTCTTACTATGATAATCAACGGCGTGGTGGAGGGGCATCATAAAATCAATACAATTACTTCAAGGAGCGATTGGCAGCGAGGGGAATCACCCACGAAGTACTGTTTGAAAACAAAAGTGGGGGAGTAACAATGAATTAGAGGAGCCAATGTGTGATTGGTTCCCAACTACTCCTTGCTCCACCTTTGGAGAAGTTCCAGACTACTTGGTCTCCCTGTCGACGAAAGTGCCCGGATATGGTTAGCGTATATCTTACTCTTGTTGAGAGTGCCACTGGACCGAAATTGGCAACACCTCACTCCGTGTGTTTCGAGCACCTTCATCGCTTCTTGACCTGGATGCCAGTGTCGATTTTCTCCCGTAGGCGAACTACCATAGGGAAGGTTTGCTGGCGAAATCTGAAGGACAGACGGTTATTTATGTAATTCTGCTTGCACCCACTCATCCTGTTCGAGTTCGATAGCAGAGCTTCGCTTTTCTGGCTCCCATTGTAGCATTTTTCGCACTAGGCGGAGAAACATTTCTTTTTCCTCTTCCTCGAGACTAGTCTCTCTTTGCTCGAGCGGGATGTGTTCTCCCACCAATTCTCCGGCGCACAAGTCACCTAGGATAGCAGAAGTAGTCAATAAATGACACTTTCTATAAATAGGGAAAGGATAGATAGATGAATTACCTTCCTGTGAAAAGAACTTTTGTGTCAGATTCCCCCGGGCAAGGAAACTTGGCGATGGCGGACCGAGTAGGCGTATCATTTCGGCAAGATGAGCCCGACTTCTGTAGGTCTGAAACTCTGGGTCCTGGCCGCTAAACAGCAACCCCCCTTCGAAAAGGTTCCAAATCTGACAACGTAAGCCTAGACAGTTTTTGTATCAGAAGTATCGGCTTTCTTACCACGCATCCCACGTTCCATATATCAACGCTATATGACCATGGAGCTTGCAAGATCACTTCCGGTGCTCGATAGATATCCGGCTGAATGTCTTCCGAGTGCTCTTCGTCACCCATCACGGCCGAGCCAAAATCGCAGAGGATAGGCGCGCCTAGGTTTTTAGGCATTCTGAGCTCGCGGGAGGTATATATTGTTCTTCCATCTAACTCCTTCCTAGGACAGGGGTGTTGCAGCTCATTGTTTTCAAAATCACTGAGAACGGAATCATCAGCAATGCCGAACATAATGTTATCTGCTTTGATATCTGATATATTGATAAGCAAATGATCGAGCTCAAAACCAAGAAGAGGAAACCGCACCAGTATGAATGATCTTGCATTCTGTATGCAGATAGTCTAATGCAAGAAATAGACGATGAAGTGTCACTGCCAAGATCGGTGTAGGTAGTCTCTGTACCGGGTTGCGGAATAGAAAATCCAACACACTCTCCCACAATGGAGGATGCACGAGACATCGATGTTTGTCTTCAGGCCCGCTGACGTCAAAGGAGTCCAGCAAAGATCTGACGTACTTGCGACCTGGATGTTTCTGGGGAGCCCCTTCGATACGTTTGTATATCTTCAGCTCGTCGTCCAGTTGCTGCCCTATCGATGTGGACTTTATGAAAATCTTGAGAGTGACATAGCGACGATAGCTGTATTTTTAGTTAGCGAAGGAGCTGTGAGAAGATAATGAAAATGTGAAGATGCCAGTGGTGTCTTCTTACTCCATGTCACGTGCTAGCCACACGGTTGAACTGGCTCCAAATCCCAATTTTCCCACAACTTGGTACCGGTCCTTGAGTATTTCCCCTATTCGAGTAGGATAATACCGACCCGCAATATAGCCCGGAATGGTTTCCTCCTCGATTGCCTGGCTCGTTGATAGCTGAATGAAATTCGGATTGGTGAAGTTGAGAGGTGTCCATCTTCGTCCGAGTCGGGGCAAGGACTGAAGAAAAGACGTCAACATTTCCGAGACAAGAGCTAGTTGTTTTCTTGGGCGGGTTTTTTGGCGCTTTTGCAGGGCGTTGTATTTACGTTCGAAATATGGTTGGCAGGCGGGAATATCAGCAATGGGTTTATTGGTGACAGAAGATGGCCAGCTCCATGATCTCAGACGGAGACCGACAGGTTAGGTGATCGACGACCTTCCACCTTCGAATGCGAGATGTAGAGCTACCAACAAGCGCTAACTTTATGGATTGTTATTTTTATGATGATGTATATGGATATTTTTTCATGGCAAGGCTGGAATGACTAGTCAATGCTTTCGACTACATAGCTAAGCGCTCGGTTCGCACATCATGGACATGTAGCCTTCCACGGCCCACATCAAACTAGGCCAATCTGGGTTAGACAGCAGGGAGTATTTCGGTTGGAAATTTACGCCCGGAAAGGGGCCGCCGTGATGAACTTGCATATCCTAACTCCACTTTTGGGTACTAGCACAATCGCTGGTCGATCTCCAATGGACTAAATAGGTCAAACTATGGCTGGCCATATCGCCACGCTAGACTAGGTAGATGGCGAGCTAGACCCTGAAAATTATGTCTGGTCTACCAGATCACCATCCGATAGCAGATATGCCGTTGCCGACCGGCGAACTTTGAGTGCCCTGGGGAGATGTCAGGTTTTGCTCCACTGGTATCGCCCACCCCAGGACAAACTCAAAGGACCCTTCTTGAAACAATTTACCGCCGAAAGGTCTCATCAACGGCTAAACTCTCCGAGCTCGGATGCACCCAGAAGCAAATGAAATGGTCTCAGGGACTCCATGAAGAACCCTCGTTTTAGATTTTGAGATATCGGAAACACTAGTGACTTCATTGGGCCAGAAATAAACACCTCTAGCCCCAATTCTCCTAGCATTGGCCTGCATTCCACATCACAAACCATGACGGACCGGCGCTAATTGAACTCCGGTACGTAATTGGTAGGATTAAGAGGATATGAGCGACAACTGATACACTTCGCAAAGGCCCAGTCCTTAGCTAAGTGGAAGATGGCAGCACAAATAATTGCCATTCTTCCCGCGTATGTTCATCGCTGCATCGTTCCCATTCATTCTTACTGTGTTTATCTATTCCTGTTCGATTAACCCCTACTACAAGTTGTCCTTGGCTCCCATCAAAAGCCACCATGTCCAGAGCTTTCTCTACCGCCCGTTAAAACTTGACGAGATGGTTAGGTTACAACAAGGAATTACTCCCCGCGAATTGGAGGGCGGCCGCGGAGCGTTATGAGACAGGAGGTGCAGTAAAGGTATGTGTCCCTTGAACTTGCTGGTCTCAGAGAGCTTTTACTAAGAACATTATAGAAAGTTGGAGAAATTGAGTCCATCGAAATTCTGTAAATACACCAGCGATTCCTTTTCGACTGTGGGTTCCTGGCTTACAAATAATTCTTAAAGGCATCGCAATGATGGCAGTAGCCCCATTAACCAGTCTCATTTCAACCGCGCTGATAAGGCGGATATCCTCAGTGCTCGAGTCAAGCCTGTCGGCGGTCGACCTCGCACCCATCATATTTATATAGATGGCACAGGAACCCTGAAAAAAAGGCGATATTCGCGAGTATTCAACAACTTCCACACGGACGACTTGAGCAAAGCGCGGAACCTGAGATCTGAGCTAGATGCGGCCTGTTGCTCATGGACAATACACTGGCGTGTTATCGAGGGCAATCGGACTGACATGGACTGGCATAGGTGCAATAGTGGCTACTTGTTTGTGGAAACTGTGAAAGGCAACCATACGGCGATCCTTAGCAATCCTTGTATGTCTCTATCATGTGCTCTAGTTGCTTTCTCAGCTACCTTCACAAGCCATGAAATCTTTTCCTCCTGGCTCTGGCAATATGCAGTTGATATAAATAAGTTTTTGACTATCAAAGACAGTCAGGCAAGTCACAAGTCCGCCGCTTACATACGTTGGGGGTTTAGGTGCAAGAGAAAACGAGGGAGTGGTCTAAGGATCGATTAGGATGGCATTTTCTACGTGGCGTCCGCCAAAGATCGCCGCTGTTTCTTGAGCGTCGTGCTCCAGTACACCTGTATGGACCCTTTGCTTCTTCCAGGCAATTTCTGTGCAAACTGTCTGTCACCTCTGGCTAAGCAAGATTCTGTTCTTCCCTGAGCTTCACCAATAAAGATCCTTTTTCCACGGACCGTGGTAAATTTTTCTCGTACAAGGAGTATTTTGAGCATCAACTAGTTCGGTAATTGGGCTTGGCTGGTCACAGTCGTATGTGATGTCGGAATCTTGGTTTGCGATGCATCTTGATACAGTGGCATCTGTGCTCAAAGGCGTAGAAATACAATGAGACTAAAGCACCTCAAATAACCAGTACAGGAACTCTAGCCCGTCTTCGACGGGAAGGGCCGAGAATTGAGCACGAACGGTAGGAAACGAAACGCTGCTGCGACGATGGGGCCCTTTATTAGACCGACCAGCACCATCTTTTGAATATCTCTTCCCAACACTCGAACGCTTATTTAATTTGGACTGGCTACCTGGTATCTCTATTCATCCTGTATGCTTGTATATCCCTGACAGTGAATGGTAAATGGTAATTGTGTATAGGAGAAAAATGACCGTGTATCAGCAAATCGATAAAACTTCCTCTATGCATTTCTAGCTCAAGATAGCAGTTGATTCCTAAGCGTTGTGCTCCGGTACACCTGAATGGAGCCTTTGCTCCTTCTAGGGAACTTCAGACTACATCGCTTGATCACCTCCGACCAGGTAAGAGCGTCTTCCTTCCTAAGCTTCACCAGAAGGCGATCCTCTTCCAGAAGGAAAGGTAGTCCTTTTCTCGAGGAGCTAGGATGCTGTATATCGACCACGTTGGCACCTGCGTATGGTCGCGTAGGTGGTGGAGTCGAGGTTTCTTCCTCTCCCGAGATAGAACCTAATGCCGATGCGCCATCCGCGCTGGATGAAGCATGGAGGCATTGGGATAAAGCACCCTGAAACAGCCAGGATAAGAACTGTAGTTGCTCTTCGACCGGTAGAGAAGAGAATTGATCCCGAAGAATAGAGAACGCCATTTTAACGGGGCCGTTTGCTCGAGTACTCCGGCTAGTCCTATTCACGTGGCGATTGTCCACGACGATAGAAACCTTGTTTATTTTGGACCGCTGCCGCCTTGGTTTCATTTTTGGCCGTATGCTGCGGCCACGAACAGTTTTATCCGACGAACGAGAAGGGGCCACAACGTCACAAGTGTCTTTTCTTGCTAGGGTCTGCTCAATATCTCGGAAATGGTAATCATCTAGGATTGCCGGATCAATTGTTACGTCGCAACACTCGCTCGTCAGAACAGAACTTCTAGTAATGCTAGTATGAGAGTGCTGACTGGTAGTGTAAGCGAATCCCGGATCGCCTGATTCAAAGTCGAGTGCTTTCTGGCTTAAAAACAGTCATTATCAGCACTAATTTTATAGACCGTCACATTTTGGTTGTAAACTACAGGCTCGTCATCAAGTTTACTTTTGCAATATGGATCTGAGAGCAGGTAAATGCAACTTATTCGTGTTTAAGTCGGCACTATCGGACTTACCTCAGCGGTCGATGGAGTTATCAGTGCCCATACAACTGCGTGTACATGCATATGGCCGCTTTCCTCTTTCAAGATAATGGAGGTACATAGAGCATTCATTGCCCACGCAATTATCCATTAAAATGGTGATAATACTAGCCTTCCGGGATTGGAGGTGCAGGTGGCAGGGGTCGCCTGCATTTGTAATCAGATACTTGGGCCCTTCAGGGCTGGATCCGGATATTGGATGTTGTGAGATGTGTATGGATTGATAATCGACAATGCCTGTTCGAACCTCACCCAAGAACATATATAAGTGTACACCGAGTAGGACATCTAGAGGGTACTATACTTCAGTTGCATTTGACCAAACCCACTTCGAATGAAATCGACCAGTGGAGATTCTGATTTGTTCTGTATCGAAAGCTCTGAAAAATCGTTAAAACCAATAATGGCCCCGATTGTTGTATTCATCACCGGTGCCAATCGTGGCTTGGGCCTAGGGCTGGTCCAGGGTTTCATTGCTAAACCGGGCCATGTAAAGTCTTCTTTTTCCCCCTTCGGCTTGCAATTCGATGCAGTCCCTAACACTGAATCCCGGATAGATTGTTATAGCTGCCGTCCGTGACCCAGCACACTCGACCGCTCAGGCACTTGCCGAGCTGTCCACAGGAGAGGGCAGCCATGTTATAGTGGTCAAGTATGAAGCGAGCGTGGAGCAGTCTGCCTTTGATGCCGTCAAAGAAGCGACCTATCAGGGTATTAGCCACCTCGACATCGTCGTCGCTAATGCCGGCATTGCCAAATTATATCCACTCGTCAAGGACGTCAAGCGCGCCGATATAGTCGAGCATATTGACGTCAATGTGTTAAGCGTCGTGTCATTGTACCAGGCTACACGCAATCTGCTGCAGAAGTCGACCGGAAAGCCCATCTATGCCATTATGGGATCCGGGGCCGGTGGTCTAGCGTATGTCTGCTCGAACTTTGGACACAGTAAACGGAAGCTAATCATTTCTAGACGCCAACCTCCAGTTGCAAGTGCGGCGTATGGCGCATCAAAGTCAATTGTCAACTGGTACGGCGTTCGGATTAATGCCGAGGATGAGTGGCTCAATGCGTTTGTCTTGGATCCCGGCTGGGTGCAGACCAACATGGGTAATGCTGCCGCGAGGCTTTGGGGCCTGGAGCAGGCGCCGGAGACTCCTGAGAAGTCAATTACCGGGATGGTTGAGGTCCTAAGCACGGGAACCAAGGAGCAGTATGGTGGCAAGTTCGTGCGCTACTCGGGTGAAGTTCAGGAATGGTGATCATAGTTTCATAGATCATGGGCAGATCGGAAAGCCGAATCTAGGTCAAGCTAGGGTTTGCATGTAGTTCTCTTGCAATACGAAGATATGAGAATACACTGCCTCATCAATGACTCTGGCCCCTATGACAACGGTCAAGTATGAAAGAATATGTATGCCGTAGTGAGTATATTCTAGTTATCGAGGTCGCGTCGATCTTACATAATCTAGTTCGTGTCCGCGTGCTCAAAGCGAAAGGGCAGGTATACCTAGTTATGTTCCTTCTTCTCTCGTTTTTAATCTCTTTATATTCATTTTCAAAAACATATGCGGGGATTAAATATAGACGAATAGATGCATAAAAACAGGACCATACATATAGTAACCCTTTAAATCCCAAATTCCCTGTCTAGATATCTCATTATAGACTTGGCAGGTACACAAGACCAGTGACCCGGTCCGGGCGCCAAGAAGCGCATCGCCCAAGCTGGCCTTTGCCGCATACAGCATTGCAACACCCCCCAGTCCTTCATTTTTGCTACGATAAACCGGTGCTATCGTCACAATTGATCTCTCTCCTCTCCTTTGTGGATCCTTTATCTTGTCTACCTATTTCACCATGACGCGCGCTGTCCAAACCCTCTCCGTTCTTCTCCTTGTCTCCTCGGTATGCTACGAAGTCCCTCCATCTCAGAAAGGAACACAATCCCGCGTGGATTTTACTGACAATCCACCAGCTCTACCTTTCTCTTTTCCTTGGACTCGTTCCTCTGAATGAGACTGTCCAGACTGAAGTCATCCCAGTTGTACGTTACCCACCCCGTCAACCCGACCCCCCGACCTTCGAATGTGTCGATGGAAGGAGAATTAACCTATAACCACCTAGCTCCCGTTCTACGCGCTTATTGTCTTCGCTTGCTATCTTCTCGCACGCCTGGGTGTGGCGATTTTCACCTTCAACGATGTCCCCGAGGCACACGCTGAGCTACAAAAGGAGATCGAGCTTGCCAAGGTGGAGTTGCGCCAGGGAAAGGTTGAGGTCGATTAAATGAGAGATCGCTGTGTGGTTGAATTAGGCCGATAACCAGACACTAGGATCCAGAACCCAGGCAGACTGGGTCTGGGTCTGGGGTCTGAGTCTGAGAAGTTCAGGCTGTGGATTGGTCCTTGGACGCGGAGGCTTTTGCCTTCGCAGGATTGAGAAGGTGCCCCTGATCAGTATAATAACTATGCTCCAGTGATTTTCGTTTCCCGCTACCAATGCTATATCCTCTTGATACCCGTCTACAATCCAACGTTTGCAAAACGACTTTCGACACCAGGCCCAGATTCCCGGTCGGTGGCTAGAACAAGACTCCCGGTGATTACTGTGGCATTTCGTTTCAGAAAGAATGGAGCACCGACTGCAAGAGCAGTTTCAAGTGAAAAGACTTTTGGGGAGAGCCTGCCGGTCTACCAATCTGCCAAAAAGAAAGAACTTTTTCTATAGAAATTCATCAAGGATATCGTAGAAAATACATGCTCAGGTTTATGCACCAGGTCTGAGCATGGACAGTAAATCAAGGACCAAAAGAGTCACCGATATAAACCATCAGAGCGCCGCGCAAAAGGGAATGCTTATGATAACGTAGTCATTCGCTTAAACGACTTTGGGGGAGGGCGCTTCTTGGACTGTCTCGGCGGCCGGAATAGCGACGATAGGGCGTTTCTTGGCTTCAGTATCGTGTGTTTCAATGTCCCTGCAGGAAGAAAGAAAAAAGAAAACAAATCAGTCAAAATCCAGAAGATAGCAATTTCGAGGTATAACATACTCAGCCTCCCAAGGGTAGCAGATCCAGACATCCCCAGTAGTGACCGCTGCGTGGTAACGCTTGTTCACCATATCTTTGGACAGATCACCCTTCTTGGCCTTTTGCTTGTTCTATTCCAGTTGTCAGCCAAACCTATCAGCGTGCAGATAGACGAAGAGACATACGTGCAGAACGAAGATAAAGAAGTTAGTCTCCTTGTCCTTGATGGGGTCCCCCGGAGGGAGCTGCTTTTGGGCTTCCTTAACGTCGCCCTCGAGCTCCTTCACGGCATATTGTAGGGTTGTGCGGGTATCATCGACCTCGTCAACGATAAGAACGTTCTTGCCAACCAAGTTGGTCATCGAAGAGTTCATGTCGAGCCATTGCAAACGTTTGACTTCGGTACCGGGGGCCTCCTCAACGCTGTCTGTGCCCACGCGCTCGTAGAGGGACAGGCCGATGGCCTGGATGGGGATGTTACCCCCATTTTCCTTCTTCATGAAGGACCTGTTTGGCGAGGAGGGATTAGTAGTTAGTCGAAATGAAGGGGCACGTGTGGACTGAACGTACCGGAGGATGCGGGCAGGGATATAACCACCACCGCCGATGGCGATTATAAGGTTGATCCCCCAGGAATTGAGGAGCTTCGCTGATTCCTTGCAGAGATTGTGGACCTGTCGAGGATATTTACATTAGTCTTGGTCCTTTTAGAGTTCAGAGGGATTATAATAGTGGACTGCGATAAGACAATCTCCAATTTTGCGGGGTTGAGGGAGATCTTGATGATGATGCTTAGATGTTCATGCGTCTTTTCGATGTCTTCAACATCTTTTTTGACTAACACAACGAGACAGTGACTAGTCAATAGATTGGGATTCTTACATCATTGTAAGTGGCATATTGCTTATTGTCTTCCGACATATCGGCGATTGTTGGGATGATTCCGAAATTGGAGAGATATAAAGATGATAAATGACAGTCCAATAAAAGATCAAGTATCAAGAAGTGAATTATTCACAGCTGACGAATATTTTTTCCACAGAAAGGGAAAAAGTGGAGGGGGAAAAATGTGAGAGGAAAAAAAAATTATGTCGGACCGAAAGCTTATCGGCCCGCCCGCGTGTGTGCGGGGGCCCTTATCTATTAGACCCTTTTCATGTACGTGCATGGATTTATGTTGTACAGCTTGACCCTGCATATATTCATATTATGATATTGACATGCTTGACATGCTTGACATGCGTTTCATGATACTCAATAACACCTAAGTGTACCAACTAGGCTCAGGTACTTCATGCAGTAGTGCATATCGCCCCAATTCCCGGTTCTTGTAAGCCACCGGATCATGAAGAGTGTGCACTCGAATATCCCGCCAGAATCGATCCAATCCAACTTTTGAGGCGGTGGCCCGCGCTCCAGTCACTTCAAATACACCAGAAGTAACCCTGAGTCCGACATCTGTGGCGACCACTTTGATGCTAGCCACCCACTCCGCAACCTCTCCACGTTCCTGGGCTGTGAGACCAGATTTCTGCGCTTGATACCGAGTATAAAGCCCCGAGAGTTGATCACCTGCTCGATCAGCAAGGGCTTCTGTGGCACGCAGATGCGCAAAGAAGTTGCCATAGCGTTCGAGGATGTAGAACTCATCCGTCGCTGATTCCTTGTTGTCGCCGCCGAAAGGCCAAGCACGTGTTGCGGTCGTGGTGTATCTGGAGGCGAAATTCAAAGCACCAAGAGCAATTCCCAAGTAGAAATTGCTGAAGACCAGTTGGATACTATGGGAAAAAAGCGAGTAAGCATTGAGCCATGCAACCGCTGGGGGAACATGGCATATGGAATGGCACAGACTGCACTTACGTTGGGAGGAATAGAGTAGGGAATGCGATCTTCAGAGTATCATCGCGAGGCTTCTTGGTAGCTGCATCCCAGCCCAGTGCATCTGACCAAGAAGCACGGACATTCTCTATCTTCACGCCTCCAGACTCGGTCAGGCGCAATCCAATGTTGTGCCAGTTGTGAGCAAACTGGATACCGGGCTGTTGGGTCTCGACCAAAGCAAAGATGTGATCCTGAGTGCCATCCAATATACCTTCAAGGACTGTGAGGTCGGACACAACGCCTCCAGTGTTGAAGTACTTGTTCCCGGTGAATATGATATGGTCTCCGTCTGGAGTAATCTTCAGATCATTGTCGCGCGGGTTCACGGCGCCCCCAACAAAATAGTTGTTCGAAATGATCAACTGATTGGTTCGATCAGCTTGTTCAGGAGTGCCCATCACATTCGCAATAGTAGACCAGAGAAGGTGATAGCCAAGCAGCATACCGATAGATCTGTGTTCTTGTTAGGAGTATCCTTGGGAAGCATGAGGAATACTGGAGTGGTACCCATCTGCATTTGCAACCTCTCTTATTGCCCTATATCCAACACTCCAGGCTTGCTCGCCACCACCATACTTCTTCGGTCCTAGAAGCTTTGTCAAGCCCGAATACTTGAGCAAGGCCACTTCAGCGCGCGGTGATTTGTTCTCCTGGTCTCTTTGTGCCGCATCCTTAGCTAGCACCTCAGAGACCTCCCGGGCTCTAACAATCCATGCTTCTTCGGTGTCCGGGAGATTGGACCATCTTGTTTCATATCCAGCGTAGACAGCGGGATCTGTCGCTGGAACACTAGATTGGGACATGGTGGCACGGGATATGCAGTATAGCTGATCAGTTCAAATTGTATTGAAACTAATGGACTAATACATTTTCATGGGTGGGATATGAGAGAGTTTATATATAAACAGTTCCTTTGCCCAGGTGCGGGGGATATCTTACATGCTTGTCTCTCCATATCACGCAATGCCGTGTCACCCCTACACCCAAGAATGAGAGTCATAAACTTCAGATTCGTCAGATTCGCCAGACAAATAGAATATGTCGTTATGGCTCGTTATGCCTATCGAAGTAGCACCGTAATTTATGAAAAAGCACAAATAATCAGTAAGGGTTTTCCTCTCTTGGTGAATTTCTGTTGTGTACAATCGCTTGTTTGCCAATAGTGCTTGCTCGTCCATCACTCCAGTTTGAATCTGCCAACCTGAATTGGATGGCACCTTTTTGTAGTTTCAATATCCGTAGACAAATGCCCAAGAGAATGGTATTGAACAAAGTGTAGCTCCTCGTGGTCAGACCAACGGGCCCGAAAGCGAAGGGCGAGTGCTACCCCTCTCGAAGCGCCGGCTGTTCAATGCGTCTTAATGTTTGGGCATGCAAAAGCTCCAGAGCCACATACTTCTGACTTGAGATTTCCCTATAAAGGTCACCTGTGGCTCGAGAGATGACCGCACGAGACATTGTGATCGTGCGATTTTTATGCGAATCGGATGAGTTCCTCTGCTTCATCCACTGTCCTCCAGAAGATTCTGCGGTGACCAGTACTCTTTCTCAGGGCCCTGGGCATCCAACCACACTAGACCATCAGCAACCAGGTCATCGATTACAGTTTGTGCTCGAGCTTTTTCCCATTTGAGGTTCAACCGCAGCATTGAAATGCTCACAAAGCCCAGCACCTGGATCGCTTCCAAGACTGTTGCCTGGTCGGTGTTGAGTTCTTTGGGGATGGACCGAATGTACTGCTTGCTGCCGACCTTGACGATGGAGAACCCGGAGCCAAGGGGCTCGAGAGACCGAACTGCTCGTAGGATGTCGTCACTGTCAAGCACGCATTTCAGTTAGTCACTTATAGGTATCCGTACTTCCTGAAGGAATAACTCCATACTCTGAGACTTCGAGCCCACTCCCGATCGCCTTGCCCTTCCCCACTCGCTTCCGACACTCCTCAACACCAATCAGCCCACCATTTTCGCTCCTGGTCTCTCTGCATAACTCCACAACCCTAACTGCAACTTCAAAGTAAAAGTCATTCATATCTCCTCCCATAATCTGGGTCCAGAAGCTGCCCCCCTCTCCCAGTCCGCGACGGCCATTCTTGCCCTTGACGTTGCTTGCGGCAAGGGGATCAACTCCAATGGTGTTGCACATGCGCGCAAACTCTGCTCGGAATGTCGGGTTGGACTTTATTGTGGAGCTATGTTCTAGTGCAAATGTATGGAGCAACGACTGGAAAACCGACAACTGGGTCTGCAGGGAGGCAGTATGGGTAGAGCGGAGATTGGCGCCATGGGTAGCATAAGATTGCGTCGCCTGAGTTCGGTTTGCAAAGGCCCCGAGGCCAACCCCGCGACGAGACATATAGTATGGAGTTTAAAAGGAATTTGGTCCACTTGATAGTCCTAGTTACATGTAGTTGAGGCTACCCCAGGTGGGTCAGACATCCATGAAGTCATCTGATAAGAGTCAAACCCTTATCTTAATTCCGATAAGGGTTGAATCCACAACAGGTTAGCGTTGGATAATTCATAGGCTAGCCACATATGGCTAAGTGACCCACACCCACACAAGCGAAGTCTCATTCTTACATTCCTTTTCTTCGAACTTTTTCTTCTTCCTTTGACATCCTTCGACAACCAGCCGACTCTCGACCTCGTCCGGACCTTCAAAATGGCCGCTACTACGTATGATTCCCAATGACTTCTCCCTTAGACTGATGCAATCTCTGCTTGAGTTTGTAAGGTTGCGGGTATAGTCGTCCTTCTCGCTGGGGATGCCAGCCGTTTGTCCACAACGATGACGGTTAGGCACCAGCTCGATCCTTCCTGCCCTCTATCTAGATTCCAATTATCTCGGATGCACTTGTTGTCTATCATGGAGCAAAATTTGGATACAGAAAAAGGGTGATGGAGTCTTGAGGTTGAAAGCGCTTGGCGCCTTCTCCTCCAAAAATATTGTTGTGAACTATCGTTCTCGGGCGCTCATGATGTCGTAACAACCTCATGATCTTAGAGCGAAAGAGTGTCAACATATTTCCTGAACATTGTTCGGGGTTTTGTCGGATGAAGGCATCAATGGCATCTTGCGGGTGATCGGGCTTGCGAACACTATGCTGGAATATGCATGGCTAGTACCAAACTGTAATCGATCATGAAACTCCAGTGCCTTGGCCCTCACTGATTAAAGACATTTCGTCGAGTTCTTGTATGCCTTCAGTTGAGAATGTGGCGCTATATGCTGCAATTCTTTCACTCGGCGAATTGTCTCAGCCTTGATCTATCTAGGGCAGACTGTTCTAACATTGCACAGCTCCGTTCCCACCCAGAACCAGGTCCTCGTTCCCGAGACCCTTCTGAAGAAGCGCAAGTCCCAAGAGGCTGCCCGCGCTGAGCGCCGTGCCGAGGCCGAGAAGACCAAGAAGGTCAGTTTTCCACCTTCTAGCCCACATTGCCACACTTCCCTTCCAACTACATGATGCATAACACCATTCACGATGACTAGACCGCTACCACGGTCAATGCTGTCGTCTGTCAACCATCTTTCGGGTCTGACATTAGTTACACAAACTACTTGCCATTTCATCACCGGACCTTGGAGGACTCTCATGCTGACTGAGATTCATATAGGCCAACAAGGAGAAGCGTGGTGTTATCTTCAAGCGCGCCGAGTCTTACGTCCAGGAGTACCGCACTGCTGAGCGCGAAAAGATCCGCCTCAACCGCGTTGCTCGCCAGGAGGGCAGCTTCTTCGTTGAGGGTGAGCCCAAGCTCGTCTTCGTTGTCCGTATCAAGGGTATCAACAAGATTGCTCCCAAGCCCCGCAAGATCCTTCAGCTTCTGCGTCTGCTCCAGATCAATTCTGGTACTTTCATTCGTCTCACCAAGGCTACCCAGGAGATGTTGACCATTGTCAACCCCTACATTGCCTACGGTTACCCCAACCTGAAGTCCGTCCGCGAGCTTCTGTACAAGCGTGGTTACGGAAAGGTCGACAAGCAGCGCACTCCCCTCACCGACAACCAGATCATCGAGGAGCACCTTGGCAAGTTCGGCATTGTCTGCATGGAGGATCTGATCCACGAGATCTACACCGTTGGCCCCAACTTCAAGCAGGCCAACAACTTCCTCTGGCCCTTCAAGCTCTCCAACCCCAACGGTGGTTTCCGCACTCGCAAGTTCAAGCACTACATCGAGGGTGGTGACACCGGTAACCGTGAGGAGAACATCAACGGTCTCATCCGCCAGATGAACTAGATTCCTTCTCATGAGGAATTCGGGTTGGAGCGTTCTTTGAGCGCACCTCCAAAAATGTTACAAAATTTTACGACTTTACTGTCTTGGGTTGTTTTTTGCACGGGCTGTTTATATCCACTAGTCAATTTTTAGCGATACAATGGTCTGGGATTTCCGATCAATCTAATGCTTCAAACAACCCAATTGCATGGGCCTCGTTCCGTACTTTGTCTCGTAATTGTATTCAGTAATCGATTGTATTTACCAGCCTTTAATTACAACATTCTACTCAAGTCGGCCTTTGTGAGGCGAAGACCGTCCCGAGGTCCGAATTCCATGTCATTTAGCTATCCTGTAGGCTGTTTTCGAAGCTGTGTTAAGGCCGCACTTTCACGATTTATGAAGCAGTAACTCAAATCTCAAGCTCGTTATTGTAGTTGGTTAACGAGAGTCAGCTCCAGTAGTTTTATGTCTGGTGTAGCTCGCTCGGGTTGTCAATTCACGTGTCTGCGTCATATCATACCCATGGATCCTATCAGTTACCAACCAGTACTCGGTATTCCGTTGTTTCCATGCCATCCAACGCAATATGAACGAACCGGTGCGGAGTCCAGAACCAGGAGTGCAATGCGATGGTACCTATTCGGTATCCACCTGGAGGGGGAAAAAAAAATGCTCACACTCGGAGTCGAACCGAGGATCTCATGATTACTAGTCATGCGCTTTACCACTAAGCCATGCGAGCTGATTTGTGCAATCAGTACACATGTGACTATATAAAAGAAAAACTGAACGAGCGTCTTCCAAGATTTCTACCTCAGCTCACATACATTATATCCTAATGACAGTTTGAACTCTCCTATTACGATTAACCACAAGGCAGAGTTGTCGTCCCTGCCAGTCTGGGTTCGATGCTGATGGATTATGTGGCGTAGGCTTGAAAGCGCCTTCGCGGAGGGTTTCCGTAAAGAGCTCGTAGGATGGGTAATCTATCTCGACCATTTGAGTCAGTATATTCTGCCGTGCATGGTGGTATTGCTCCCCCAAGTATATGCATACAGCCGTCCACAAAGTGGTTGACCTGTTCTTCGGTCATTCCGGTGCCTTTGGCAGCACGGAGCGTGCGTTCCTGTTCCTGACGCCATTCGTAGACGAAACGAGGGTCTTCGGCATCGCTGAGATTAGTTAGTAAATGAAAGTATGGAGTGGTAAAAGAGCACATACATATGGATCAAAGCGTCAAGTTTGCTGCGAAGGAGAAACCTATGTTAGTCAAGCTTCTAGTCGCGCAGTCTCCAATGGTTGAGGAAACCCACTCAGTCAAGGTATCATATCGCTTCAAAGCGTCATTTACAGCTTTGACATCCTCGAAATTGACATGGCCTAGTCGTCCGTCATATTTGCCGTTCTCCTTTTGATGCACAGCGGCCTCCCATTTCGCACGCAGGGTCTGGTCATCCCACGCACGGAACCCGACACACCACCCTTCGAAAATCACGACCTTGACTTTCTCCTGACCCGCTTCATTTACGACCTTCCATTGTGCCTTAGGAACACGATCACCCTGGCCCTCGAACGCAGACTTGTCATACTGTGGAATGGCCGTCGGACGTTCAGCAGCGAGTGAAGTAAACACCTCCTCACCCAATGAGAGGTCGTGAGTGGAAGGCTGGCCACGATGCTGCAGGAGGGGGTTTGAAGGATGCGCTTGTGCCAGAGCCACCTGATTGGCGTGGTCAAGGTAGATATCGTCGAGCGACAACGTCACGACCGAGAGCGAGTATGGTTCCGAGTGGAGAGTGTCATTGAGAGCGGATACCTATGGAAATTAGTGTTAGAATCCGTCCCGAGGAAATGAACGAGATCCCGACGCATGGGAAATTGACCAGCGCTGGATCTACTTACCAGGACTGTCTTGCCCGCACCCTGCACGCCATTGAGGCCGATGAAAAACGGCGGGGTACTGGGGTTGCCGCGGTGCCGCTCGGTATGAATGTGCAGGCGATCGAGTAGGAAGGGGATGCAGTGCTGCGACTTGTCGTCCACGATTTCAGGCATTTTGGCTTGATTTTGACTACAGAATACTTGTAGGTTTCTCTTGCACGTCTTTTGTATCTATCGGCTACGGGTGCGCGGGAAGTCTCCCCCAATCGGCCGAGTGAATCTGGGGTCATCCCCCCACGGGGTATATTCAGCCGCTGCTTTTGGCTCGGCATGTTAAAACTTTTATAGAGAAGTGCCACGAATCGAGTGACAAAATATTGAAATAGTGAAATAGTGAAATAGCAACATACAGACAAGATGTAGAAGTCCACATGACAATGACGTTACCTAGGTACCCGTCACATGTCTGAGTCAGCAAGTACTCGGCTTCGGGGTACTTGGGGAGACATTTGCCTGCATGCATATGTACACATGTACGGAGTACACATATTGTATGTTGTACATACTTGCATATGTCTCATGCATAAATGCAGTAAGAGTCTATATTACATCTTCATTAAATTACAAATACTTGAAAGTCACCTAAATGTACTCTGAACGGAGTACGCCGGCATGTGATACGGGTCGATCTGCCATTGTAACGATACCCCAATATTTCACCGTTACAAAACCAACCCAAACGTGCCGAGGTCCTCAGCTTGCCGAGTTGCTTTAAACTCCCCTCTTCTCCAGCTTTCCTTTCTTCTTTTATTTCTTTCTATTATCCACTTAACCTTCGGGCACATCATATACACAGAATGTCCGAGTTGCGATTCGATAACCAAACGGTGGTCGTCACCGGTGCCGGTGGTGGTCTGGGGAAAGCATATGCTCTCTTCTTCGCCTCAAGGGGTGCAAATGTCGTCGTGAACGACCTCGGTGTCTCTCACAAGGGTGAGGGCAAGTCAGGAAAGGTATGTCGAACACCTCCGAACCAGATAGACAGACACTGACAGCTACCCCAGGCCGCAGATGTTGTCGTTGAGGAGATCCGCGCCGCTGGCGGTAGGGCCGTCGCCAACTACGACAGCGTCGAGAACGGTGATGCTATCATCGAGACTGCTATTAAGGCCTTCGGCCGCATTGATATTCTGCTTAATAATGCTGGTATCCTACGGGATATTAGCTTTAAGAACATGAAGGATG